GAAATACACCAGGCAGAGAAAGACAAATACCATATGGTTTCATTTATATGTGGAATCTAAAAAAACAAACAAACAAAAAAAGAGTACAGTAATTTTGGAAAACAGCTTGGCAGTTTCTTATATAGTTAAACATGATTACCATATGACCCAGCAATCCCACTCTTAACCGTATTTAAGAAAGTATATACCCACACAAAGCATATACAAAATGTTAATAACAGTTCTAGTTATAATAGCTCAAAACTAGGAAGGATACATCAGCTGGTGAATGGATTAACAAATTGGGGTACATTCACATCATGGAATATTACTCAGCAAAATACTGATACAAACAATAAAATAGATGAATTGTAAAAGCATTATACTGAGTGAAAGAAGCCAGATAAAAAACACTACTTACTAATTGATTCAATTTATATCAAACTCAAGAAAAGGTAAAAGTACAGCGATGGAAAGAGCAGGTCATTGGTTGCTGGGGGCCAGCAGATAATGGAAGAGCCCAAGGGTATTTTGTGTGGTAGTGGAAATGTTCTTTGTCAAGATGGTGGTTACTTGATTGTATACATTTGTCAAAACTATTTGAATTGTATGCTTAAAATCGACCCCCTCTCAATAAAAAAAAAATGTATCCCAGGAGGTAATTTATGTGGAAGGGTTCTGGACCTGCTGAGCATGTTAACCAGAATTGCACATTTTTCACAGTGTAGCCACACACTAAGATCCATGTGTTATTTTCGAAGCACAGGTAACAAATGCCCATCTATCCAGATGGTTCATCTGACTGTTAATATTATTTTTTTCAAATCTAGGAAACGAGAAGGAAACTTCTAAAATGGTGATGGTGTGAATTTGTTGAATGTGTGTTACATATAGGCTGACCAGTTCAGTTCTCTTTCATTTGTCTTACTTGACAGGAATGTGAAACCAAGATTGCACAAGAGATAGCCAGTCTTTCAAAAGAGGATGTTTCCAAAGAAGAAATGAATGAAAATGAAGAAGTTATAAATATTCTCCTCGCCCAGGTAAGCGAAATTCTTTTTCTCTATTTTGCAAGCTGCTTCTTTTTAAAAAAAATAAAAATTTTATATATTTAAAATGTAAAACATGATGATTTGGTATACCTATACATTGTGAAATGATTACTAATTGACATTATCTTTTTCTTTTGTGATGAGAGCACTTGAAATCTTAGTATATTTCCAGTATTCCATACAGTATTATTGACTAGAGTCAACATGTTTGTACATTAGCTCTCTAGACTTACTCATCCTACATAACTGCAACTTTGTATCTTTTGAACAACATCTCCCCGCTTTCCGCACCCCTAAGCTCCTGGTAACCACCTTTCTACACTCTACTTCTATGAATTTGACTTTTTTAAGATTCCAAATATAAGTGAGATCATATTTGTCTTCTCTGTCTGGCTTATTTTACTTAGCATATTGTCCTCCAGGTTCTCCATGTTATCTTAAATGGGAAAATTTCTTTCTCATGGCTGAATATTCCATTGTGTGTGTACATATATATCTTTATCCATTCATCTGTTGATGATTGGGTCATTTTCGTATTTTGACTTTTGTGAATAATGCTGCAGTGAACATGGAGTGCATATATCTATTCAATATCCTATTTTCATTTCCTTTGAATATATATTTAGAAATGAGATTGCTGGATTATTACTATTATATTTTTTGAGGAACCTCCTTACTGTTTTCCATAATGGCTGTATCAGTTTACATTCCCACCAAGAGTGTATAATGGTTCCTTTTCTCTACATCCTTGCCAATACCTACCTTTTGTTTTTTGATAATAGCCATTCTAACAGGTGTGAGGTGATATTTCATTGTGGTTTTGATTTGTACTTCCCTGATGACTAGTGACATTGAACATCTTTTCATACATCTGTTGTATGTTTTTTGAGAAATGTCTATTAGGTCCTTTGCCCATTTTTTCATTAGATTGTTTGTTTTCTTGCTATTGAGTTGAGTTCCTTATATTTTTTGGATATTAAACCCTCATCAGATGTATGGTTTGCAAATGTCTCCTCCCATTCCATACATTGTCTCTTTGTTGATTGTTTCCTTTGATGTTCAGAAACTTTTTAGTTTGATGCAATTCCATTTGTCTATTTTTGCTTTTGTTGCCTGTGTTGTTGGGATCATATCTAAAAAAGCTATTGTCCAGACTAATGTCAAGGAACTTTTTCTCTATCTTTTCTTTTAATAGTTTTATGGTTTCAGGTCTTACATTTAAATCTTGAATCCATTTTGAGTTGATTTTTTATGTGAAGGGTCCAGTTTTGTTCTTTTGCATACCAAAAACCAGTTTACTGACATCATTTATTGAAGAGACTGTTTTTTCCCCATTTGGTGTTCTTGGCACTTTAGTCAAAGATCAATTGACCATAAATATGTGGATTTATTTTTGGGCTCTCTATTCTTTTTTTAATATTTAATAAAATTTTTGGGGAAAGTGTTAGTTATCAAGGACTTGTTTTGCAAAGTCACACAAAATAATAACAGGACAAGAAACACCCAAAACTATATCTGATATTCTTCAGAGCTATAAGAAGTTTTAAGATATCATGGAGCAGAAGTTACTCTGGGAACGTCCAGCCTTGTGAAAAGAATGCCTGTGCACAGGATGCCTTCGGAAAGGGTCCTGGGAACCTGGCTGCTTCTCTGGTCTTCAGATTCAGATCCCATCTGCGAAATGGGCTTCATGCTCATACAAGGATTATGCAATCCATTTTTCTTCAGTGGTTCCTAAAAGTACTTACGTTAGCTTCTTAATTGCCTTAATTCTCCTATCCCAGTCTGAACCTATGGCCCACTGGCAGATAGGGTATGGGACATACCTCCAAGATTCAAAATTGCCCAGAAGTCAAATTTTTTTTTTAAATAAACATTTTAAAAAATTAGTTTCAGCTGTACAACACAGTGCAATAGTTATACTTTTTACCCCTCAAAGTGACAACCCCCCCGCCCCCAAT